CAGCAACAACAGCAACAGTTGGCCGGTGGTGTGGGAGGTCTGGGCGCTCAGCAACAACAGCAACAGTTGGCCGCCGGTGTGGGAGGATTGGGAGGTCTCGGAGCTCAGCAACAACAGCAACAGTTGGCCGGTGGTGTGGGAGGTCTGGGCGCTCAGCAACAACAGCAACAGTTGGCCGCCGGTGTGGGAGGATTGGGAGGTCTCGGAGCTCAGCAACAACAGCAACAGTTGGCCGGTGGTGTGGGAGGTCTGGGCGCTCAGCAACAACAGCAACAGTTGGCCGCCGGTGTGGGAGGATTGGGAGGTCTCGGAGCTCAGCAACAACAGCAACAGTTGGCCGGTGGTGTGGGAGGTCTGGGCGCTCAGCAACAACAGCAACAGTTGGTGGGCGCCGCTGGCACCGCACCGGTGGCTCAGCAGCAACAGCAACAACAGGCCGCCGGAGGTTTAGGAGGCGCCCAACAGCAGCAACAACAACAGGCGGCCATCAGTGTGGCCGCCGACGGCTCTACAAGTGGCCAACAGCAGCAGCAACAGCAAGCCATCAGCAAGACCATTTAATTCACTTGTTTTTATTGTTTATAATTATAAATAGTATTTATAAAAAAAAGTTTATAAGTTATTAAAAGTTTATATATTTCAGTTATTTGCTTTAATAGTGCATTTAAATTATGATTAATATAATAGTAGAGTTTTATATTTAAATGGTTATTGGCTGTAAAGTTTAATATAATATAATATAATATATGCTCCTGAGCGTTTTATGCTCCAGAAATTTATTTTTAATTGGTTTAAAACTTTTTTGTTAATTAGGGAGCGTTTGGGGGCAAAGTGTGTATTTGCTGAGTGTGTGCTGTACTGTATATATGAATGGCATAATACACGTCAAACACTCGGTTTCTATTGGGTTTCTATGGGAACGTAACAAATGTTTATGTCATTCAGTTGTCATATGATTGGGGAAAGTGTGAGTGAGTGGTTCAAAGTGAGCCGGGATGTAGTAGTTTATAATTACTTCATGTTTTATGGACTTACTGATAAATGAGATGATACTGTATCCGCTAATTAGGTAGTAGTGCTATAAATTACTTATTACACTCAATGTTCCCGCGCGGGAATCCGGGAAACATTGGGAAGTGTTTGCAAAGGCAGTGCGTATCGAACGCTACGCATAACCATTGAGTCACAGAAACACCAAAAATACCGTAAAATTAAAATCAAAAACAATATTTCGATTGAGTGTTGATTTGCAGTATTGAGTGAACGCTAAGTCATTGAGACTTTTGCCACCGATTTAGCGCTTATTATAGTTAATAATCGCTTCAAATATATCATTAAAACTCAATTCAATGCGAAATGTGTGGACAATAGCAGTGAAAAGCAGTGGTAATCAAAACACTCATCAAATGCCATAAAAGTGTCAAATAATTGTTGTTTTGTTTTGCACTCCAATTGAGACACAAAAAGGCCATAAAACTTGATTTCCTGAAGACATACTAATCATCTGAATCCGTGGTGACCACCGAAGACATGCTTCACAGACACTGCGAGACGTGTATAAAGCCGTCGACGTGTCGCTCGAAGTCCGCCAAACAGGCCGTCAATGGTGTGGCCGATGAGACACAAGCACTCAATGGACACACTG